ATATATACGAGTATGGTATAAACTCGACGGGCTATCAATTAACGTTTGTCAATAATTCAGCGACGTTAATTATGACTTGTACACCGTTCGCTGTACCGAATTCTGACGCCACGCGCTGGCTGCAACATTATCTACTGGGGGAAAAAAAATAGCTAATTTTTTAACATAAATCGAGCAAAAGGGACAGTAAAAACAAAAACTTTGCTCGTTTGTATTAATAAATGAAATCTGTATATACGCGACGCCGGCGAAAACGGGTCGGATGGCAAACGTTCACTGGGGCAGACTTCCAATACATATATTATATACATATTATTGCGATCCCGACGGTACGAACGCATTTCGGTTAAATTATTTACTGAAAAACGAACGCGCAATCGTTCGCACGGGGTCGTTTTTTTTATATCATTTTTTACATACATAAATTATCATTTTGTAATTATAAAACTCCAGTTACTGACTTAGATTTGAGTAACAAAATAAAATAACAGTAAGCGTAATATTGTACCCTGTAACGCACATTTTGCACGACTCTATATATATAAATCCTATAAGTCATGTCATTCTTACCCTTTATCATCCCACAATTCTCAAAGAATTATGGCTTGGGCCACGAACCTTTTAGTACGATGTATGTCCAACTCAGACATCTCTTTGTCTATTTGACCTAATTAAATTACAAATTTGTAAAACAAAACTTATTTTTATGTATTTTTTTTCCTAAATGTTATTTGTTATTCTGATACATTTTAAACTTAATAATTCTGACGTTTCGCGCATTGGAATACTCTATTAGAACACTACATTTTAATTGGGCCAATGCCCTCGGTATATGTAATTAAAATAAATTATAAATAAATAAATAAAATGTGTACGGCATCGCGATACCATCGTTGGAACATTAATCGCGTGTCTCTCCAGCCATCTAGGCGATTTCCGTTTGGAATCGTCGACGATATATTATTATTCAACGACGTGGGTCCGAATCGAGTGTGAGGTGAAACTCTGTCGTGTGGAAATGACGAGATTCGCCCGGGACTAATACGAACAACCTAACCCATATACGCATGTAAAACAACGCTGCAGTATATATAGATGTATTACGGACACCCTTCCGACGTGTATATTGCTCAGTGCACAGTGTATATATACACTATATAGCGACATGGGCTCTGCGAGATGAACGTCCGTCCCGACCGACCTAAGTACATATATACTATAATGACCGGTCCGCTAGGAGCAATTGAATATATCCGCGAGAAATGGCCGGCGAGCACTGCAGCAAATCTCTGGGCGGACGGAAGGCGTCGTTCATTACCACACTAAATGATTAAACATATATTATATATGTGTGTGTGTGTGTGTGTGTGTGTGCCGTACGATATAATAATATATCGTGCACAGAGTAGCACATTTACGGGGTAGGGTGGAAGAAAATGATCCACGCTCTCCTTAGAACCCGCAGATTATAATAATTGATACGTTACACTATGATATTATGCGCAGTGTGCACATATAATTATTTTAATAATTATGATAATATTCAGTTTAAACGTTCACTTTATCACTACTAAAAAATTTTACTCACGTCAGCTATTTGATAAAAAAGAAATGAAACGATTCCACTGATATCGCGATGCTTTACGTTGTGGATACAAACGAATGTTGCGGTATTGTGCGTATAATTAACGAATTTGAAATTATTATTTCAGATTCAATAATCGGAATAATCATTTTATCATATTATATATTCCATGTATTTTATATTACAATTCGACAAGCTATTCGAATCCTCTTTTTTTTCCCCTCACTCCCCTGAAACAGTTTCCCTTGAAATTTGAATCCTCAGTAGCAAGACAAGTCCCGTATATAAGGTGCTGCAAAACGAAAGCTCTCAAATCGCTTTCGGCGGGCGATCTAAAGCTAAGCGCATATTCTCTGGAAAACAGAAGAATTTGCCTTTTAAAAGTTACACGCTGATAAAAAAGAAAAATACATTTTACCGATGGCAAAGACTTTTTCCAACCGGCACTCCCCACCGACTATACATATGTGACTACCATCGTGTATATACAGGCGAGCAGGCACGTTCCACATCATCCTATATCTATATGTCCCCGCGTAGTATACAACACACCGAGATCGCGGGTATTGCCTTATAATAAATTTTTATCTTTAAAACATTTCCAAGAGAAATAAATCGTCCGAAAGAATAATATACTTCCTTTTTTTCCCCATTCCGGTCTCTTTATTTTCATTACTCCGGCACACCCTCCGACCGTAACTGCGATGCCCTGCACACGGACTGAAACCAAGAGAAGAAAACATTTTTTTTCGGTCAACGATGGAAATAATAATAATAATAATTATAAAGCCTACGTCGGGACGTAGATATAGTGTAGTTACGCGCAGTACATGCGCTTAAACCTCGCGAAAAGTGAATAATTTATCGCCGCTGCACCACCCCCGTTGCACCAAAGTCATTGCGCGCTCCCTTTCTCCCCGTGTGATCTTTTACCGCAGTTAATAATTGATATTTTAAGTGTTTCTTTAACAACGACGACGACGACGACGGCTACGACTGTTCTCCTCCTCCCCGTTTGCACGGTCCTCCCATTATACACGTATATATATTATCTTGAAAATTACTTTTGAATTATTATTATCATTATTCTGTTTTTTTCCGGCTACCCCGTCCGGCTGGGCGTACCCGCGCGTATATTGCTGTTAATTACCACGCGCTACTACTATATAATATACGAGTATACCGCGGTTTTCCTAATTTGGTTATTACATTATTGTTTTTTTTTTTTTTTTGTTTCTGTACGACAGACAATGGTTATTCGACAATGCCAAAAACAAAAGCTACGTATTATAATATATTGCGAGCGTAGGACGATTGCTGCATTTAAGTTTCATCTTACACACTGAACGTAATTATACTGACTCATCGCTCGTCACCACTATATGCTCTATATTACCATACTCGCAATCGGCAAAAGAGTCGTATGCAGTTTTTTAGTATGATTAATAAAACAAGAAAATGGAATGTAATATATAATAATAATATATGTAATATATTATTAATGTAATTATTAATTTATTTATAAATTTATTATAAATTTATTATAAATTTATTTATAATAATAAATATTATCACCAATTCTACGACTTGTTCGTAATCATTTGTTTACCGTTGATTTTAGATCTCAAATCAAATGCATATATTTAGAAGTATTACGAGTCCTTAGAGCGATCATACAGTCGATAATATTATTGGATTTATAATTCGATTATGTGCGTCATGGTTGATGTTATAATATAATATGCCTATATGAAAAAAAAAGAAAAATTGCATATCAAAAGTGAACGCGTAGCGCCGCGGTAATGAATTTCGTGGATTTTAATATAAACTTCGAAGTTCACACTGTTTTTAGATAAGTACCTATATAGACATTACGTACGTCGGTATGGAAAGGGAATGGTGCCGGAATTAATGGTCTGCTACCGTTAGCACACATCGCAAGAGTTTTGTTTATTTTATCGATGTTCAAAGAAAACTTCCTCGAGTCATATAATAATAATAATAATAATATGTATATACAAGCTCGGCACTCTCGCATTTCCTGTAACGTGAATTACTGTCCGTGTTGTAGGTAATTTGATCCCTATTTGGCATGTGGACGTTAAAAAACAACCTGCGGATTACAAAGCACAAACGCTAAAATAACATTTGTTCAGTTCAAAATTAAATTATAACGTATAATACTAAGTTAGATAATATGATATTGTAATTATGTATTGTATAGGTACATATTATATACATTTGTTATTATTACTCAATACACGGAATCAGACGGTTGTTCATTATTGTTGTTGAATACTATATAACATTAAAATCACTAAATCAATATACATTATACTAGGTATTATTATTATAAAACTACGGTCATTATATATTAAAATGCGTAGTACCTATAAAAGTTTTTTGTTTTTAATACAAATCTGAAATATAGTATAGAAAAGAAGTGATTTTTTTCACTTTATTTTTTTACCAAGTTACTGACCCCGTGTTACGTATATATGTAGTTACATCGGCCGCCGGCACATCCCAAGCGAACCGTTTGTAATAATAAATCAACCGATTCTCGGGTATTTGAATAAATATCTACATTAATATATGTATATATATATATATATATATATATATAGAGAGAGAGATATTTAATATATATACACGGATCCGGGAAACTAAGTATTTACAGTGGCTTTGACTCGGGGGAGTTTATGACCGCACTGGCATTATTGAAACGTCCAGACAGATTTTATCACTAAAACGTTTGAGCGTTCTACAATACATAATATTATTTTGGTACATATTTTAATACGTTTTCAAGGTACATAGCTGATGTGTCAATATTATTTTACGGACGATTCGAATTTAATAGACATTTATCATATAAGGCCACGCTTGCCCAAGAAAGTTTACCGAACAACGTTATAATTTAACACACGTTTTGATCGATGTACCGTCGAATTGAGATCATATAAAGACAAATTATCATATTATTTGGACTCCGATGGTACAATTTACAAGTATAAAATATGAGCGCTACACATTATAGGTAAAAAAAGGATGAGAACGAGATACAGTTTTTGTAAGGCACTTGCCTCTGCATTTTGTATAATATTTTAATGGTTTGTAAATAAAAACAAGATATACAATAGCATTCGTATTACGTTAATTGTTTTCATTCGTATATTAAGTGAGCTTGACGTTTAAAAGATAGTATATTTGTTCTAAAGTATATTATGCAACTTTCCAACTTTAATTAAATACAACTCGGGCGCGCTAAAAGAAAAAGGATTATATACACCTTTGCGATTTTACGTCTTAAAAACTTCTCCCGAATGCAACCAAAACTAAAAAAGTGGAAAAGTAAAACATAAAAACGTAATCGCATAGAGATTTAACCGAGTGTCAGGACAACTGTGGCGTAATGCGTGTAAATTGCTGCCTGCTGGACCGGTGTGCAATTTACGGATCTAACGTGTGTCAGTCGGACCGGAATTCGGGAGGTCTAATTATGTGGCCAGTAAATTATGCGTGGGGGCGGGGGCGAAAGGGGTCCGAGAACAACTCGAAACATCTCATTCCGGAGAGGATGGTGAAAGGGGAGCTGCTCGATCATCATCGTTTAGCTTCTTCCACGGCCACCTCCTCGAGCACCACACCCATGACAAACACCGTGGGAGGTGAGTGGAGAGGACCTCTCCTAATTAGCGATTCCCTACAACGTTTCCCACCACCGCTTTACAACGTGCGCGTGCAGTGTGCTTTTCGGGAAAAGGGACCAGCTCTATCCTGAGGGCGACCGAATATTATTAAAACCGTCCCGAAGGATACGCCGACGACGAGGTAGACATTAGCATAGTATGTAATATAGCAGCGGCGGTGGCGGTGGCGTTTAGTGCGGCAGTACCAATAACTCAGCAACAGCGGTATAATAGTGGTAGTGGTATAGTCTACATTGTGGCAGTCTGGTAGTCGTATTGTATATATGTATATATGTATATATAATATATATATATATATATATATATAATAGTTGGTACACACACACATATACGTATCTTTACGTTACGTCGGAAGGTTGTATGTATATATGCATAAAACGGAACGGTTAAGGCATCACGATATAATAATGGCTTAATAATACTAACGCCCATGGGCCGGGGTCGAGGGTGGCGTGGGAGTGCGCCACAAAGCCGCCGCTGGGGCAAAATGATGTTGTTTTGCACGCACTCCTCCGTACACCACAGCGACGGCGACCACTGTATTCCACCCCCACCGACCGCCCCCACAACCTAAAAAATATGTATCGGCCACTTCGCGACTGTTGTTCTCCGTGTGGAAATTAAAATATCGGGCGTGGCGGTGTTCTCAGTACAATGTATTATTACATTCGCAGAGCATACAACGATAATATAATGTATATGTTCTCACCGCATGTAGGAAAACAAGTAATTACTATACCCCGGACTCGCCCTGTACGTACAAAGTGCGTCGAGTATATACGTTGGATACGATAGATGTATGTGATACACAGAGGTGTACTAACGCGCTACTTAATTGGGAGCCGATAAGAAGTGTCGGCGAAGGGGTTGAAGGCTCGCGTGATAAATGGACTGGTGTTTTTGTCTCCTTTGTCCGGTGGCGTCTAATCAAAATCGCTTGCCAGCGTTGATGACGTATCGCGATTTATCATTCCGCTCTAACCCACCCTAAGTGAACGCTATATATAAACCCGCTGCAGTAAGGTATAACGAGACGTGCGCCTTCTTGTACGACTATTTAATATATTGTGCGTATTACGTATATATTCTAGACTGTATTATTATATAGTTCTATACGACGCCTCACCGCCTACCGCGCTCGAGGTAATCATGGCTGACGATGGGGTCGAGTTTGTCAAACACATACCATATTATATTATGCATATACCTATGCGGGTCTGCAGGGTTTATTTGCACGACGCATATGAACTTTTACGGATTTTGCGTTTTCATTGTTATACACTGGTAATAATAGTATCGGCGTTTTCATCACTTGTCCGATAATCAGCTAGTTTTTTTTTTATTATTATTTTTATTGTGATTTGTTATATGTAGGTATAGTTAATTTACAACATACACACTAACTTAGTAGTACGCATGATAACAAAAAAAAATAGTATTGCTTAATCGAATTATTCATATGCCAGTTGGTGGGGGGAAAGGATGGTGCCTATAACCATATAGGTAAGCTATGCTATTATACTGCCAATTATGTTGGTGGGAGGGTTAGAATCGGCTGTGCGTTGTATATTATTAAATGATTTGCTACGCTCGTAATTAGAATATTATAGGTACCTGCTAGGGGGGATAGTAATTAATTCCACATTTCTGGCATTATATTATATGATATAATACCCATATACATACATGCATGTACGACACCCATTGTCAAGATTTGATTGTGTACGTTTTTTTTTTTTATTATCTATTCAAATTGTGAGATCAAATTTATTTTTCAATGCATATAGTCATCCACCGTAATACCTATACGCTAGCATACAATAAAGTATATAGGTATTCAATTTTTGTATATAAACAACGTTCTATCATGTCCCACAAATTGTATTAAATTTTAAAGTAAAATATTTAGAATATAAAGCGTATATAATATATATATAGGGGTTAAGTCACGGCAGCGAGTTTTTTAAACGTTAGTTCAAAAATATATACATACCTACACATTCCGCAAACATTTAACATTATTATTCATAACTTGTATAAAAAAAAAAAAATCCCACAAGCCAATATATTTCTTGACTTTATCTTATTTTTACTCACTCCACAGCGACGAACACGGAAAATCGTTTAAGCTGGAATTTAAGTTTTTTTATATATATATAAATAAGGGGCCTGCGCCACCCTTTGCGACAAATCCAGTGCACCGATATAATAATATAGTAACAATACGCTATGGTTAAAAAAAAACTCCTCCTCCTCATCCTCCTGAACCCGCCGACAAACATTGGCTTTTCCAAATATCATCATCATAAACGCGTTTCTTATCTATAATTAAAATCTTCAAATATAGCGTAAAGGTCCGATTCCATATTATTAAAGGTTTTTTTTTTTAACTTTTTTTTTTTTAGAGCTTCCCAGTTGCATCACGCACTCGTATTAACGGCCATCGCTCGATCTTATTTACAAAATGTATAAATAAATAAAGGTATACGTTATACTGCAGTTGTGAAAAGTGCTTCTTAATAGTACCATTTCGGAACCCCTTTATATTCCTTTTCCTTTATTTTTTTTTTTTTTTTTTATACCAAACCGTCGTTTTACAACTCTTTATGCAACCCGTACGTGGTAAGCACCTTTCAAAGAACGTTAATAAAAAATAATAATAATAATAATAATAATAAAAACTTTACCTCAGATAAAGATTTTTCATCGAGGCGTAGGTGTGCAGGCGGGCAAGAAAACTTAAATATGACACGTGTGTGTGTGCCGACACTATACTTTGATGTCCTACAATGTCGGTATACCACGTACGCATTATTGTTTGTGTTCGATATAATGAAACTGCTTGATTATTTTGATTATTTCAGGAATAATATTGTAATTACGCGACAGAAATATTAATAATATTATTCTGAACACGCAAGTCAGAATTCACACTATTCGCTGTAAAATGTTTGATACGCAGAAGTCGGTATCGCGCATTATAATATGACATTAATAATTATAAACACTATTTTTGATAATAATAATGTCCTCGTGTAGATCGTAGCTTCTTATTTCTGTTTCGTGATTCGCGCGAAACTCATTAAAGTATAAAAATACGTTATTACATAACCGTCCCAAAGTTGGCGATTCAGAGTAAATCGTAAAAGCACGAGCGAATTGAAATGATAAAATATCTTATTTCCAAACGCGAATCATTCTCGATTTGTCGTGTTGGGTTTATTTTTTTGTTGAAAATATTTCCCCGCCTCATATATACATATAATCATTTGTAATAGTATCTCTGCTGTCGAAAACACATTATTCGCCGTGACGGATATAACTCATAGTGATGTACAAAAAAATCACTTATACACTCTCGGCGGATGTCGATACAGCTCTCATATTTACCACGTACAATGCGAAGCCGATGAGTCACGTTTTCCACGTGCGAAAAACGAATAATACATTTGATGATGAGATGCAACCGAACAGTGTTTCGTAGATTTTCTTTTTCATCACATTAAAACGTTTAATATTATCGTTATTCCTCGATACCGGAAAAATTGAACACATTTTATATATTTTACGTTTCTCCCATCGTAATATACAGCTCGTGTCAGTGCTCTGCAATATATATTACCTGCTGTAAATATTGTAATCTTAAATCCTAATTATACAGTTTCCACTTGAATGGTTGCATTACTTTGATATTCTCTCGTCGGCTATTTAACGCCGTCTTATGAAAATTTGTACCAGACTCGTTATACCATGCATAATAATTAGCAGTAAAATATTAATAAATAATCTAAACATTTCCCTTCTCTACACAGCCACGATCATACACATAATATACATATTAGTTATTAATTTATAAAACTGTTGATGTAATTCGAGTGCACACTCACAGGGAATGAACATACAGGTTGTATAGGTACTACGGCGAAGCAATTTCTTTTTTTGTACTCTAATTCATTTTAATGCCATACAAAAAAACCGAGAAACTCTTAGCACGTGTTCATTAATATAGGAATTCTGTTTAAATATTATTATCGAGCGAATTAATATCATAACATTCAGTAACAAAAAGGTGCTCTGCTGTACAGTAGGTTAAAAGTGGGTCACTGTATAATGGATGGTATTAAATTTGAATTCAATGATATAATATCATTGTATAAGAAAAACGATTCTGAGCGCAGACGATATGTCAGTCTAGGTATAAGACATATTATATACTTATCTATGGTATTAAAAAAAATTGACCTATAGTATGTATACCTATAATAAATTCCAAATTAATCATATCACAATATCCATTAGGTACTTATAACGCTTTATACATCAACATCAAACCCTGATACTATCATAGATATATAAAAGTGTACCTACTTTAGAAGTTTCAAGTACCCACGAATAATATTATACAATCACAACAAAATAACTAAAATAGTTATTCTAGGTTTTTTATTATGGAATTTCGTCCAAATTTGAACTTAAAATGACTATAAAAATAAACTGTCCTTATGTATTTTTCAGATTTTTTGGTAACAGAATTAACTACTTACGTGGAATCTTGTTTTAAATTTTCAATCCTTGGATATAAAAGTTGAACATTTTATAAATTATTAACTACAAACTAATAATTAAATTTGAAATTTGATAAATTTAGTCAAAATTCGAACTTTAAATGCTTATAAAAAAAAACTGTGATTATGTATTTTTAATATTTTTCAACTGATATTGAAACAATATATCAGGAGCCTTGTATTAGCCTTGTATTATTTTTACACTTTTTGACTCTACAGATAAAACTTTATTGATATTTATAGAAAAAAAAACTAAAAAAATTAAAAACTGAAAATGCTCGTAAACAGCTCAAAAAAAGTTAAAATATTTTCAGAATTGTATGTTGTACAGGAAATGCAAGTATAAACATTCAGTTAAATTTTCATTTATCTACAGTTATTTGTTTTTGAATTACAACAAAATAAGGAAATCACCACATGAGAAATCGAGTGAATATCCAATGTTGTAAAAATTTGAATTTCAAACACTCATAAAAATTTAATTTGACTTTCTTATAGACATTATT